AGTCAAAATGAAGAAAGTTTTCCTTTAAACATGCTCAATAATCTGCCAATCGCTTGTTTTAAGGAAAGCAAAGACAATATCTTGTACTTTTCTAGAAAACACTTCATAATTCTTAAATCAAGATGAACTTTATAGCTGAATATAAGTTATTGTTTCATTTTCAGAAATAATGAGTCAAAATGAAGTGAGTTTTCCATGAAAACAAGCAATTGGCAGATTATTGAGCTCGCTTCAAGGCATTATTTCTGAAAATTAATCAATATCTTACATTCATCTATTCTCTTCTTGATTTAAGAATGTTGTAGAAACAAGAATATTGTCTTGTTTTTAGAAATAATGTCAAAATGAAGTGAAGTTTTCTAAGAAAACAAGCAAAATAATCCCGTTTTTGCTTTGAAATTAGATTATTTTGCTTGTTTTCTTGGAAAACTTCACTTCATTTTGACTCATTATTTCTAAAAACAAGACAATATCTTCCACTTTGTACTTGAAAATGCTTCTACAACATTCTTAAATCAAGAAGCATTTTATAGATGAACATAAGTTAATGTTTAGTTTTCAGAAATCAGTTAAAATAAAGCGAAATTTCCTTAAAACGAGCTCAATAATCTGCCAATTGCTTGTTTTAAAAAACATTCATTCATTTTCTTGTCGGCTTAGTCCCTTCATTTATCTGGGGTCGCCACAGCGGAGTGAACCGCCAATTTATCCAGCAAATTTCTACGCAGCGGATGCCCTTCCAGCTGCAACCCATCTCTGGGAAACATCCATACACACATTCACACACACACACTCATACACTATGGACATTTTAGCCTACCCAATTCACCTGTACCACATGTGTTTGGACTGTGGGGGAAACCGGAGCACCCGGAGGAAACCCACGCGAAGGCAGGGAGAACATGCAAACTCCACACAGAAACGCCAACTGAGCCGAGGTTTGAACCAGTGACCTTCTTGCTGTGAGGCGACAGCACTACCTACTGCGTCACTGCTTCGCCCGTTTTAGGGAAACATTCACTTCATTTTGACTGAAAGCAACACAATATCTTGTACATGTCAAGAAAATGCTTCTTCATAATTCCTATATCAAGACAAATCTTAAAGATGAATATAAGTTATTGTTTTTCCACGAAAACAAGCAAAATAATCTCGTTTTTGCTCTGAAATAAGATTATTTTGCTTGTTTTCTTAGAAAACTCTCTTCATTTTGACTCATTATTTCTTAAAACAACACAATGCTTTGTATTTGTCCAGCATTTTGAGATATTTGGACTGGAAACAAGACTCAAAGCATTGATTTTGCATCGAGTTGCTTCTGCCGGTTTCGTTAATCTTCAGCTCGACAGCGTTTAGTTTCATTTTTTAACTGTGAGGAATGTTAAGATCGACGCTCAATTAATCACTTCCAGCTTAATCTGCACATCCAAACCCTCCGCATGCTGGAAATACACTCGCCTGCTCTACGCAACACTTATTCGTTAATTCTGAAATGTTATGATCACATCTAAATCTCACGCTGAATTAAAAACGACAATTCCTCCAACCAGTGGAAACCCGATCGTTATCTACTCCAATCAATGCATGTCGTTTTTCAATGAAAAACAAAAGGAGTCTGCAAATCAAGTAGCAAACGCGAACCTTTCCAGCGTAATGTAATGTGTAACATATGGCTATTGCACACAAGATGCACTGTGTGGGACTTTTATTTTGTCAGCTGCATAAGTTGCATGAAAAATGGCAGCATACACTACCTGACAAAAGTCTTGTCGCCTATCCAAGTTTTAAGAAGTAATATCTGTTCTTCTAGTTGATGATTTGATGATGAAGTGTCAATGAAAGGTGAAGGCCTCTAGATTTCGCTTATTTGAGCTCAATAAATCTGATCATGTCTTGATGTTGACTGATTTGATGAGGACAGTGCGCTCTGACTCTGCTCAGACTAAAGTGTCATCACTGAACAGAAATAATGTCCAGTATAGAATATAAAGTCCTGCTGCAGTGGAGACAGAATGAATATTGTGTCTGACTCCATCATGAGCTTGGAGGACTGCATCCATACATCTCTGACATGACTCACATCACTGATTAATAAAGTCATCTGGAATGAAGAAGAAAGCGTTCAGCAGGATCCCAGAGCTCATCAAGAGTCTCTGTGTTCATCTTCAACACCTCCTCCTTCATCTGCTTAATAATGTTGATGTCTGGTGACTGGGCTGGCCAATCCTGGAGCACTTTCAGGAGCTTTGATGTGGAGGCTGAAGTATGAGCAGGAGCGCTATCCTGCTGGAGAATTGTCCCTCTGCTGTGGTTTGTAATGTAATGGGCAGCACAGATGTCTTGATCCCTCAGGCTGTTGATGCTGCAGATCTCTCGCACACCCCCATACTGAATAAACCCCAAACCATGATGTCTCCTTCACCAAACTTGACTGATTCATGCTGGTTCCAGTAGGTATTCTGCAGAATTGGTGATGATTGGGATGCAGATGATCCATCAGAGAAATCCACCTGATACCTTTACACATGATCAACTAGAAGTCATGTGTTGTTCTTACAACTAGGATTCACGACAAGACTTTTGTAAGGCAGAATACAGTCTTGCAAGGGTAAGAAGTCAGCCTAAGATTAATGTTTAATGCTGGAAGTTATAAAGTGTCAAAAATCTACATATAAAACATATTAAATAAGGTAAAACCGTGGGGGAAACGCAACAAAACTATGACACATGTTTCTCTGTACAGAGCTCAACAGTGACTATACAACACCTGCACATCAGTCGGCTGAAAGTCTCGTATTATTATACAACTCTATGCTCAATTCAATACAACAAAAAAAACAAAACATTCTAGATCGTATAACTGTACATGTGGAAAACAATCGGTTCAAGTCTGTTACTATCACTCGTTTTTTTTTTTTTTGTGTGTGTGTCGTTGTTGTCCTGCCGACCCTGAAAGGGTTTCAATATTATTGCAAGATGGTTGTTTTAAACCAGGCGTACCGTACTGTATATGCCAGATCTTCTTTTTTTTCTGTCATCAGTTTGCATTCATCATTGTTTTTGTCTCCATTAAACATTACAGCAGTAGCTTACAGAAGCAGTAACTCAAAACGGTGCTCATGTTTCACTTTAGGAAAAGTCTCAATAAAGTCAGCACACTGCCACTCCAGCTCTCTCAACACACACTGATGAGGATGAGCAGGGAAATGATGCCATTCAAGAGTTCACACTCCACTGATGAGTGATTATAAAGCGTGTTTGGCATGCTGGAGAGAGCCCTGAGCTCATAAGATCCTCGAGTCTGGGGCTCCCTCCCATTTGCAAGGCGAGAGGGGAGTTTGAGCTCAGGTAGATGTGGAGAACGCCCCTGCTGTAGTCGCTCATGAACAGATAGTGATCGCTCTTAAGAGATGACTACTGACTAGGAGCATGTCTATGGTGCTGATTTGGATTAGTTAATTAACTTAAGCTGCATGTTTTTGGATGGTGGGAGGAAACCCGGCACGGGGAGAACTTGTAAACTCAGCATTGAAATGTCGGCTGGCTTGGTAAGGACTAGAACCAGTGATGTTCTTGCTGTAAGACAACAGTGCTAACCACTGGGCCACCACCCATCTAGGAAAGGAGGTGGAGTAGGGGTGGAAGAGGAGATTCTTCAAAACCAAGATGGCTGTAATATGGAGCTGAGAGTATTTAAAGTGGCTTACGAATCGTCTGATTGGTCAATCATAAATTTAATAATGCGGGACCGGCTGTGATCAATCATAAGCACGTGATCCTCTCCAGATTAGTTTATCAATAAACTTCGCTAAATGAGCAACCAGATCAGACATGAGGCAACTAAATAAGATGGGTTACAGACAGTGCTGGGGGTAGCGCATTACACGTAACGGGATAATGTTACCTTCTAATTAACGAGTAAAGTAACGCATTACTTCTAAAAAATACCTAAGAATATTTGAGCTACTTTTTAGCTTAATTATCATTCATTAATTCACTTTTCTTTAGCTTAATTACTTTATTCATTAGGGGTCGCCACAGCGGAATGAACCGCCAACTATTCCAGCATATGTTTTACACAGCGGGTGCCCTTCTAGCTGCAACCCAGTACTGGGAAACATCCATACACACTCATTGACACTAGGGTTAGTCGACCAATGTGGCATTAAATGTTGTCAAATGTGAAACATTGTGACGGACAAAGGCATCATCTTCGTAGGCGGCGGTGAATTAATTATATATGAATAATTAATTAATTAATAATTAAATAATTGATTTTTAGCCTAATTATTCAATCATTCATTTTCCTTTGGCTTAGTCTTTATTTCAGGGGTCGCCTCAGTGGAATGAATCGCCAACTATTCCAGCATATGATGACCTTCCAGCGGCTACCCAGTACTGGGAAACACCCCTACACACTCATTCACACTAGGGTTGGGTGATGTTGTCCAATTTGGCATCGAACGATGTCTAATGTGAAACATCGTGATGGATGAAGACATCGTCGTCGTAGGCGGCGGTGAATTAATTATGTATGAATAATTAATTGATTCATAACTATTTTGTTCTGCAATATTGAAACATTGAGGTGTTCAATTTAATTTCTATATTAGGAAATAAAACCTTTCTTGGTGTTCTTTGAGCCTATATTTATTCATTTTCTTGTCGGCTTAGTCCCTTGGGGTCGCCACAGCGGAATGAACCACCAACTTATCCACAAACACTCACTCACACACACACTCATACACTACGGACAATTTAGCCTACCCAATTCACCTGTACCGCATGTGTTTGGACTGTGGGGGAAATCGGAGCACCCGGAGGAAACCCACGCAAATGCAGGAAGAAGATGCAAACTCCACAAAGAAATGCCAGCTGAGCCAAGGATCGAACCAGCGACCCAGCGACCTTCTTGCTGTGAGGTGACAGCACAACCTACTGCACCACTGCTTTGCCTGAACCTTCATTCAGTATGAGTAAAATACTTAAGTTCTTTTAAAATCGGATACTTTAACACTTTTACTCAAGTTTTGGTGAGTTGTAACTTGTAATAGAGTAATTTTTACAGTAAGTTCTCTGTACTTTTACTCGAGTATGGTTTTTAGATGCTCTTTACACCTCTGGTGATGAGTAAATTATGGCTGTTGCACACAAGATGTGTTGTGTGGGGACTTTTATTTTGTCCGCTGCATAGGTTACACTCTTTTCTTTGAAAAATGGCAGCATAGTGTTACGAGGGTAGGAAATCAACCTAAGATTAATGCTTAGTGCTGAAGTTATAAAGTGTGGAAAATCTACATATGAAACATATTAAATGAGATAACACCGTGGGGGAAAACTCTGACACATGTTGAGGATCATTTCTCTGGCCAGAGCTCGACGGTGACAGTGTGCTGATTTCTCCGGGACTTTATCTCTGTTGTGTTTGGCTTGATGGAGCACCAGCCTTTAACATCTGCTCATTTTTCTCTTCCTTTTTTGTAGTGTTTCCCTATATTTAATGCAAGTCTTCGTTTCTGAGCCCTCTGCTTACAGCTTGAGCTCGTTGGCGATTTTGGAGGCGATGTTCTTGAAGGCGATGGAGGTCCCGGAGATGCGTTTGAAGCGCACGCCATTGAGCGACAGACGGGGCAGTTTGCAGACCTCCATCTCCCACTGCACCAGGCTGTCGTGTCGAGCGTCCCCGTGCACGCAGAACAGCAGGAAGCGCTCGCGCTGCTCGTAGTCGCAGTTGTTGGCGTCCAGCACCTTGCGGATCTCCCGCATCATGTCTCCGGGCTCCAGGGACGAGGTGGTCTTCATGCTCCAGGTGAAGCGCAGAGATCTGGGCTTCGAGTCACGGCCGTCCTCCTTAGGCTCTCCAGAACCACTCCTGGACACAAACATGATAATATTCTCAGATAATATAATATTATATAATATAATATAATATAATATATAATATAGTATAATTTAAATATAATATAATTTAAATATAATATAACATAAATATAATATATAATATAATATAATTCAAAAATATAATATGAAATAAAATATAATATAATTTAAATAAAATATAAAATATAATATAATACAATTTAAATATAATATAAATATCAAAAATAATTTAAATATAATATAATATAAATATATTATATAATTTAAATACAATATAATAAAAATAAAATATGAAATAAAATATATTATAATATGAAATAAAATATAATATAATGTAAATATAATATAATATGAAATAAAATATAAGGTAATTTAAATATAAGATAATTAAATAATAAAATATAATATATTTTAAATATATAATATAGTATAATATAATTTCAATATAATACAATATAATGTAATTTAAATATAATATAAAAAATATATAAAATTGAAATACAATATAATAAAAAGTAATATAATATAATATAAATATAATATAATTTAAATATAATATAAATAAAAAATATAATATAAATAAAAATATAATATAATATTATTTTATTTAAATATAATATAAAATATAATATAATTTAAATATAATATAACATAAATATAATATATAATATAATATAATTCAAAAATATTATTATATGAAATAAAAATAATATAATTTAAATCAAATATAATATAAAATATAATATAATACAATTTAAATATAATATAAACATCAAAAATAATTTAAATATAATATAATATAAATATAAAATATAATATAATTTAAATATAATATAATAAAAATAAAATATGAAATAAAATATAAGGTAATTTTAATATAATATAAATAAATAATAAAATATAATATATTTAAATATATAATATAGTATAATATAATTTCAAAATAATACAATATAATTTAAATATAATATAATAATTTAAATATAATATAAAAATATATAAAATTTAAATACAATAATAAAATTTAAATATAATATAATATTACATAATAAAATATAATATAATATTATATAATATAATAACAGTGACATTTAAAGGCTTAACCAGGTTGAATAGGCAAGTTAGGGTAATTAGGCATGTATAACAGTGGTTTGTTATGGAGACAATCCAAAACTAATGTGTGTCACTGCTCGGTGTACAGCACTGAACTTTACAGCCAATCACAGCCCATTCTGTTGAATGGTTGAACACAATGACCAATCACAGGCTTTTAAGAACTCTCTCGACAACGAGTTGATTAACGTTGATATATGACGAGGTACTGTTCATATTTCTGACTGAGTGTATTAAAAGACAAAATTGTCATCAAGTGTTGTGAGGTAAAAATATTCAATTGTGTTGGGAAAGCATCATCAATGGACTTGTGGAGCTGTGCAGTGGTGGATTTGCTCTTCAGTGTTTCAGCTTCCAGCAGTGACTTTACATTACACTCAACTGAAATAAACTAAACTACAACTCTGAAAACTGGACTGACAGTTTCAATTTGCTTGATCTTATATGTTAAGCTGCTTTGACACAATCTAAAGTGCATCCAGAAAGTATTGATAGCGTCGACACAATCCTGTCTCTGAGGTCTACTGACAGTTCCTTTGTCTTCATGCTTGGTTTGTGCTTTGACATGCACTGTCAACCCTGGGAGCTTCTATAGACAGGTGTAGCCTTTTCAGATCATGTCCATCAGCTGAATTGAGCACAGATGAACTCTAATGAAGCTGCAGTAACATCTCAAGACATGTACATGTGATTTTACAAAGTTTTTTTTAATAAGTTTGCAACAATTTCTAAAACTTTTTTTCCACATTGTCATTATGGGGGATCGTGTGTAGAATGTTGAGGAAATAAATGAATTTAATTCATTGTGGAATAAGGCTGTGGCATAAACAAATGCGGTAAGAGCTATAAATACTTTCCGGATGCTTAGCCCATTTATTAATCCGGGGTTGCCACAGTGGAATGAACCGCCAACTTATTCAGCATATGTTTACGCAGCAGATGCCCTTCCAGCTGCAACCCATCTCAGGGAAACACCCAAACACACTCAAACACTATGGACAATTTAGCCTACCCAATTCACCTGTACCACATGTTTGGACTCTGGGGGAAACCAGAGCACTCGGAGGAAACCCACGCCAACACAGGGAGAACATGCAAACTCCACACAAAAGCCCCAACTGACCCAGCCGAGGCTCAAACCAGTGAACCAGTGAACTTCTTGCTGTGAGGCGACAGAACTACCAACTGCGCCACCGCATCGCCTGATAATAAATTGGAATTAATAAAAAAATTAAGTATTTTTTTAATATTTCTAAAACTGTAATCTCATTACATTATTTATAAAACTGTAATAACTTACAGATTAATTGCACATTTGTAAACACAAAATAGCATGGTTAGTACTGACAATAAAAACATTTTTCTTAAAACAAAAACTGTAGTAAAAATCACCATCCGACAAGCAAATCCAGCAAAAAAAGTGCTTAAAAAGTCACTAAAATGCAGCATTTTAATCTGATAATTAAATAGAAAATGAGGCGAATAACTGCAAAAAGAAACACCCCTTTAAGAGGCCTGCGATACTTTATTTGTGTGTGGACAAACTGCGCAGATGAAACCCCCGTGTTCATGTGGACAGGGCCTTAAAGTGTTAAAATCAACATAAAGAAGACAAAAGACCGCTCAAGACACATGCTGAACACACCAAACAACCAGAAATCTCTCTCACACACACTCAAATACAGCACAATGGGGAACTATGGGAATCTGCACGGACTCTTTGACCTACAGAGGCCACAACAATAATAAACGTCTCACAGTTTGACAGCAGACAAACTCTAAACCAATCACAGAGGAGCTACAGGAACCTCACCTCAAACTGTACGCCCGCCCACGGGCCTCTCCTTCACTGGGCAACCTTGGGAAATATTAATATGGAAATTAATATAGAGAAAGCAGCGGACGTCTGAACTTTATAAGCACAGCTCAACATGATAACATGCCTGAAAGAAGCAACATTTCATTTACAGCCACTCTTAATAGGCAGGGTGCGAATTATAGGGGGGTTTGGGGCGGCTGACCCCTCTGATTAATGATTTATAGGGGGTCACTCATTCACACTCATACACTACAATTTAGCTTACCCAATTCCTCTGTACCGCATGTGTTTGGACTGTGGAGGAAATCCACGCAAACACAGGGAGAACATGCAAACTCCACACAGAAACGCCAACTGACTCAGCCGAGGCTCGAACCAGCGACCCCTCTTGCTGTAAGGTGACAGCACTACCTACTGCGCCACTGCGTCGCCTGAATTTAAGTTACATTGCAACTAATTCTCATTCGATTATACGCAGACTGCTAGGTTGGGCTTAGTGTATGTTGACATCTACTTCTAAACGAGACATTTGTCAGTGTTTTGGCGACACTAGCTTATAGATATCCTAAAAGGGTCACGAAACACCAGAACACATGTGTTGAGCTGTTGACAGTGGTATATGTGTCCCACACTGCTGAAAACACTATTAGGACACCTATATTTCACTAAAAAGTGTAAATTGGTTGTTTTTGCGTTATTTCAAGCAAATTCGTACTTCCTGTTTGAAACGAATTTTTGAAGCTGCGTCACGGTCATGACATAATAGCGTGTATTCCAGCGTGCAGACTGGACGTCTGTGCCAGAGTGTGTCTTATTACGTCTTACAGTGTGCTGCATTAATGCATGAGTAAGGCTTGGTTCAAACCAATCAGCGCGCTCTATTGTGCAACTTCATTAATATTCATTACAGTGTTTAGACGACAGAGACGCCACGTTGTGTTGGCAAAACAAGCGTGAAGTGTTGCTTTTATATTTTGCTGCAGTTAAGTTTTGTTTTCATTTTCTCTCTGTGAGAGCGCAGCTGGAGTCACGTGTGGATTAACAGTGTACGCGACGCTCGACAACAATAACTTACATGTCTAAGGAGGATTATTGTTTACCTGAGAGCTGTTCTCATCTGCAAACGCTGAGATCCGGATTCGCTGCTCGTCTCCTCTTAATAAAGACGCGGCTCTAGTTGCTGGTGATTGTCCTGTCTCTACAGATTTGGTAAGTGAGCGACCAGTGCTCTTTGTTTATTCAGTTTGTTCGTATCGAACTAAGTTAACTATTGCAAACATGTTAGCACCACAACCAAACTTTAACCTCATGTAGGATTTTCGCCGCATTTTGTGACCGGAATAACACACGCGGCTTTCAGACACTACCTGCCGAGTGCATCTAAGTTTCCGGGAAATGCGGAGGGTTTTTTTCTGTCATTCGCTGTGCGGTATCAAACATTGCATGAAAAATACACGCTTAGAGCAGCTCCTCCAATCAAATATCTCGTTTGTCGCGAGGGGCATGAATGAATTCCCTGAATGAAAGAGCCAAACTGCAGTTAAAGTCCAACATTTAATCATTTGGCAAATAATTCGACTACAGATGTCCATGTAGGTTAAACACCATCACTTTCTACTGTGTGTGTATTTTGACTCTGAAACTCGCGCGAGCCCAAATAGACACTCCCACACCCTCCCACTTTTCTTCCTCTGACACTCCCCCCTAAACAGAGCTGGACACGCCCACTTTTCTGACTTTTTCCAAAGTAGAGGTGTGAAAACACCCTGCTGAAACGAGGAGGTTTCATGGCCCTTTAAAAACTAACAATACTGATACTCACATGTAAAAAACTTTATTTTCACTTAATGGGACCTTTAAAGAAACTTACTGCGATACAAAAAAATGACAGAACACTGTGGAAGTCCAGCATTCTTTGAAATATCTTCTTCTGTGTTCAACAGAGGAATTAAACTCAAGTGAAGAGCGAGTAAATGAAGGCAGAATGTTCACTCATGAGTGAACTGCCCCTTTAATGTGACGTTGACAGACTGAGAAACATTCATTCGGGGAACAAGAAGACCACCAGCATTCAACAAAACTACAGCACGGGTACAGTCAGGGGAAGTGACATCATCATCATCATCATCATCATCATCATCATCATCATCATGAGGAGGAAGTCAGTCCGCAGGCCGTGCAAACATTGACAGAAGTGACGGATGCACAGGTCATTAGTATAACACACACACACACACACACACACACACACACGCACACACACACACACACGCACACACACACACACACATACACACATACACACACACAACACACACAGGTCTGTTCTGGGCAGGAGGGTGTGTGAGGACACTCAAATGCAGGACTGAAGGGAAAGTCAAACTAATTAATCCTACCTCGCACTTCTGAAAGACAGAGTTCTACAACACACACACACACACACACACACACACACACACACACCCAACATTAGTCCGCTACAGCTGGGAGGAAAACAAAGCTTTTCCACACGCCTTTTACGCCATCTTCCAGTGTCGTGGGTCAATTTAATTCTCACTTTTGCATGGAAGCACAACTCATGATGATCCAGACTGACCTGCGTACAAACTTGGATGTGAGTTTGCTGATGAAGCCGGACGAGGTGCCCCTGCGGGCCTGCGCGAGCGCCCCGGTGTCATGGGACAGTGTGGGTGAGGCTGGCGGCCCGTTGTAGGTGGCACTGCGCCGGTCCCTCAGTTGCGCCCCATGAAAAGTGCTGCGGCTGGACGTTCCGCGCGGGAAACGGGTGCGATCCGGAGTCATGCTGCTGATGCTGTGAGCTGATGGAGACGTGGAGGGAGCTCTGGAGCCCGAGCTGAAGAAAGACCATAATAATCAGTCAGATTCACACTTTATTCATTAATAATTATTTAATTAAACAAAACAGAATAAAAAACCTTTCAAATGAAAACATAAAATATACTCCACACACACACCCCAGTGTACTCCACACACACACCCCAGTGTACTCCACACACACACCCCAGTGTACTCCACACACACACCCCAGTGTACTCCACACACACACACACCCCAGTATACTCCACACACACACCCCAGTGTACTCCA